CTTATGATAAAATGTGATAAAATTCTTGTCATATTGATACATCACCCACAAAGATGACATCAAATATATTTTTAAATGTTCAATAAATCACCCATTTCCAATAATTATTAAACATTTGCTAAGGCGTATGTGATTTGCATGAGTTTCAATGGTTTCTACCAAATCCCCAACAGTTTCAGGCTTGTATACCTGTGTACTTAAATGTGCACACACACAGGAGGTCAATTCATAAGGTATAATAAATCCATAATAATTGGTCAAGACTAAAAGTGTTCTGAAGCCATTAAAACGCAATTGAGAATCTAGACAACCATTTGTACTCAAGTCAAGGTGTATTAATGTGCTCATTACTGTAGCTTTGCTTTGAAAATAGACTTTTCTAAAGTGTTTCTACAAGCGTCATTTGCGCTCACTGCATGAGGGTGAAATGATGCATGCTCATGAACGCATTCCTGTTAAATGAGGGTTTATTATGTGGGAAACACTTGCACTGCTATTTCATCTGATTGCTTGGGTTTGCACTAGGGGTGCAACAATACAGACTTATCATAGTTTGGTTCGGTTTTACGGTCACTGTTTTGGTATATGATTTGTCCAGTAAAAAAATGGGACACTGTCAAATATAAATAAGGAAAAACAAACACAATATAGCAAAGATACTACTAAAGTAAACAGTGCTTTTCAGGGTTTTTTCAGTAAGTGTTAATGATTTTTGGAAATTGCACTGTACCGGTTTTTACTCTAGAACAGTGCAGTATGCAGTATGTTACTGGATTTTAAAGAAGCATTGCAGTAAGAAATATCCGTTTCGCACTATTGTTTTTATATACATGTCAGTTTTCAAAACAATATTTCTGCTACAAAAAAATACATGTAAGATTATAATGAATCATGCAATGTTGTAAGCTGCAAAGCAGTCATCAGTAACTAGAAGAATAATATGCATCTCAAAAAGAATGGACAAAAGAAAGAAAGAAAAGTCTCACTTTTACCACTCTATAAAAGTTTGTCATGTTTCAGTTTAAACTGAAAGGTGAGCTTCTTTATTGATTATGTAAACAGTGTTAGATTTTACATTTAACGGTCATTTGCACTGAACATGCAGTGAATGCAACGCATTGAGATTTTGCCATTAAACAGCTGATCCACTCTGATTGTTTCAGCACTCTCTACGAAAACACGCTCTTGACTAGCGAATCAACATCCACCACATGATCACTTTCATCAGCGCCATAATATTTCACTTTAAGTGGGTTTTGGAAACCAGTGTACTTACTGATTCTTCCTCAAACTTCAGCCATTTGCATTTCCCGCAGTCACAAAAACTCACTGTCATCTGACAGCGGAAAGCTTTTAGTGATTGCCACTTATATGAACCAATATAGCGGCAGGGAAGACCGATTGAGCATGTTTTTAGAAAAAAAATTAAAGCAGGTTGCACTAAAACCATTATTTGCAGTTTCCCAAATGCTCCCAAATATATTATAAAATCGCATAGATTAAATTTCAGGTCCATATGAAACCAAAAGGGTTGCAATTTTGAGTCCTGATTAAATCTGATTTTCCGCCGATCAATTGAGCATCCCTAGTTACTGTATTTTAAAGATATGAAAATTTGTCTATTTTATAATAACGATATACATACAATTCTGCTAATTATTTGCAACAAGACAAACTGCACTCAAAAAATGACTTTTGCTGCATGCTTGCAAATTACTGATTTAAAATGAGTTAAAACAACACAATTCTTACTTTTTTTTTAAACACTTAATAAATTTATGTTCAATCCACTTAAATTTGGATTAACTTAATACATTTGTGCTGGGACAACATGAAGGAATTCATTTGTGATGGAACAACAAGAAAGGATTGTATGGAAACCAGCATTTTTAGTGTCTATGTATGTAATGTAAATACATTAGTTTTGCTGTAATTGACTCACTAATTAAATTACTTACAGTAAGTTACTGGTGAACTGCTGCCAGTAAGTTACTGTAGATCTACAGGAAATTGTTAACAGTGTAGGTTGCATGTTTCACTATCATTTTGTCTACAGATCCATATCCTTGAGATCCAGATCCATATCCTTCAGATACCCCATGCAGATCTTACAGTGAATATTGTATTCAGAATAGAATAGCACCATAAGATTTCTGCATATTGTAATCCAGACCTGGACAATCCATCATTCAAAAACCTGAACACTGGAGTCTGTAAAGGAAAGTGTTGCGTATATGGCTTATAATGTGGTCCCACGAGAGAGCCGTAAATAATATAGGTGTTTTGAATGACATTTTTGCCCATTCCTGGCATAGACCTGTCACATTTGGAGGCTTGATGGGTCTTTTCATCTAAAAATAATTTGGCAAATGCTCCCTTCTGATGGCAAGTAATATATTGGTAATGCTGCGGAGTGACAACCATTTTCTGCCTCTGTCACAGCGCACAAATGTGCCTTTTCTCTCCGGCTCTGACAGCATTCTCAGACTGCACAATCAATTAGGCTGAAATAAAGCGAGTTGCAAAGGCGACAGAGGGGCTTTTGGGTTTTGTTGAGGTACATTGGCGAAAATAAGATGGAAAGTTTCTGCAAATAATTAATCAATGGTGTGTTCAGACTGACGTGATTTCTTCATTGTTTCGTTCACTCAGCTTCTGTGAGTAATTTAGAAAATGTAAGATTAGGGTTAATTAAGCTAATGCATTCTTTCAGTCAGTTGTTGGGGTTATTTTATAAGGATTGCGTTATATAATTATGTGTATTGAGAGTTAAAAATACTTTTTTAATAAAATGGTTCAAATATTTGCTTATCATGCTTGTTCGTTAATTGGCCTAATTGTAATTTAATCACTTTGGCACTTTTGATTGGGCAGTTTTAATATTTTAACATAGAAAATGGTTTGCATTTTTAATATTATGAATTTATTTTAAAGCATTAAAATAAATTAAGTTCTGTCTACACTACCTGACAAAAGTCTTGTCATTGATCCTAGTTATAAAAGCAGTAAATAATACCTTGACTTCTAGTTGATCATTTGGAAAAGTGGTGGAATGTAGATTTTTCCAATCAATCATCTGTTGAACTGCATCCCAATCATCAAAAATACAGCAGGAGACCTATTGGATCCCGCATGGACCCAAGATTCTTAATGAAATCAGTCAAGTTTGGTGAAGGAAAAGTCATGATTTGTGGTTACATTCAGTATGGGGGCTCCTTCTCATACTTCAGCCTCCACATCAAAGTTCCTGAATGCAAAGATGGTCAAGGTGCTCCAGGACTGGCCAGCCCAATCACCAGATATGAACATTATTGAGCAGGTCTGGGGTAAGATGGAGGAGGAGGCATTGAAGATAAATACAAAAATCTTGATGAACTCTAGGAGTCCTGCAAGAACGCTTTATTTGCCATTCCAGAAGACTTTATCAATAAGTTATTTGAGTCATTGCAGAGATGTATGGATGCAGTCCTCCAAGATCATGTGAGTCTTACACAAAATTCATTATTTTTCCACTGCAGCATGACTTTATATTCTATCCTGTACATTATTTCTGTTAAGTGACAAGACTTTTGTCTAAGCAAAGTCAGACCTTACTGTCCTAATTAAAGAATTAAAAATCAAGCCATGATCATATTTTATTTTGGTAAAAATAAGCGTAATCTAGAAGCCTTTGTCTTTCATATGAGCCACTTCTGATACCAAAGGATCTAGAAGTCAAGTTATTATTTGTTGTTCCTAAAAGACTTTTGTCAGGTAATGTAAATGTATAATTCCGTGACCCAGAAAAACATTTTTGTAATGTTAGTGTGTGTATGTATTAGTAAGTGCTAGCAGGTGAAGAATAATTATCAAATAGTATTTTTCTCATCAAATTCTATATCATTTTGAGAAGACAAGATGATTAAAAAAGTGGAAATCCAAGTTAAATACGAAAATCTATAAATGAATATTAAAATATGTGATGTGCAATAGATTAAAACGAACAAATCATCAAATTAAATGTATTATATACAATATTATAAAACATTTTATTGTTTATGTTTTGTTAATATCTTTATAACAAATGGCTGGTTTAGAGTTGAAGAGTTTAGATAAAAATAAATCTGAAATTTCCATTGAAAATGAACATTTTTGTCAGCCTCCTTTATGTTGAGATATTTCACTTTAAAGACCAGGAAAAGGACATATTATTTGCCATAAAAGTGAAATTACTGAAAATACACAAAGGAGCCTGATAAAAATGCTCATTTTAAAGGACAATTTCAGACGGCATTTAGAGGTTTTTGCACCTAAACTCTTCATTTACGTTTGTTTAATCTGTTTATTTATTTGTTACATATACAGTATAATCTTTAGGGGGAAAATACAGCATGGTGACAGCATAACATTAAAGCAATATTTACGTCACATTAATGCGATTTCCTTAAAAAATCCATCATAACTGATCATCAAATCTGGCTCAGTTAATAATTTGTAACAATTATTGATCATTACAAATAATTGTATATAAGGCAGCATGGCGGCTTAGTGGTTAGCACTGTCGCCTCACAGCAAGAAGGTTGCTGGTTCGAGTCCTGGTCAGACCACTTGGCATTTCTGTGTGGAGATTGGATGTTCTATTCGTGTTGTCGTGGGTTTTCTCCAGGTGCTCTGGTTTCCCTCAGAGTCCAAAGACATGCGCTATGGATGAACTAATTAAACTAAATTGGCCGCAGTGTATGGGTGTGTGTTTGTGAATGAATACTGAATGTTTCTCAGTACTGGGCTGCGGCTGGAAGGACACCTGCTGTGTAAAGCATATGCCAGAATAGTTGGTGGTTCATTCTGCTGTGGTGACCCCTGATAAACAAGAGACCAAACCGAAGGAAAATGAACGAATAAATAATTTTAAGTGACAATGACTGCACAGCTAATGTATATGACTGATAAAAAGAAGCACTTGCTTGTGTGTTTTGCGTGGGCATTATTTACTTACTTCTTTTCAAATTTTTATTCCTCAGCCCTCACAAATGTGAAGTTATGGGCCATTGACCGGCAGTGTTTCCAGACCATCATGATGAGGACAGGACTCATCAAACATGCAGAGTACATGGAGTTCCTGAAGAGGTGAGCCCTCACTGCTTTCATTTCTATTCATTCATCTCCAACCCCTGATGCAAGAGGTCTGTCCCTCACCAGTATGCAATAAAAAGAAATTGATTTTCATCATGAATGGATAACACAGGAGTCAGCGCTTACACAATCGCAGACTTTACACTCGCTGTCCTTTGCAATGTGTGCGCCGTTAATTTCCCGGGTGATGGGTTTTGATTCGAACAGTTAGAAAGGTGAAACGTCATATTGCTCTCGAATGTTTCTAATCAACTGTTGTTATATTTCGTCAGGTTTTTCTTGAGGAAAGCGAAAGGTATTGGTTAGAGAGCAGGTAATGATTAGAGTGCTGCTGCTTTCTGCTTGTTTGAGTCTAATTCATCTCCTTCCACACACTTATAGTGGCGAGATATTGATTTTTAAGCCATGAGCTGTTTGTGAATAGCTTTGCTCAGATAGAACGTACTTAGTTTTATTATTTGATATCGATTAGTCTACTTTCTGTCAGTAATGTTGAATGCATTATGTAATGATGCTGCAAAGATGTTGGGAATGGTTGCTTTGGTCCAAAAGACCAATTGTTGTTGCCACCAGGCAAAATCGTTAGTCTAATTTCATAGAAATTTAATAACACATCTATTATCTATAAACCAGATTCATTGAAGTATCAATTATGGACAAATAGTGAACTGTAAGACACTACTAAATCGAAGTATCATTCATGGATATCATGCTTGGTGAAATTCAATGGCAAAACATGTTCAATGTATTTTAAATATCTGTTTGGAAATGTGGACTTTAGTTCAATGGTCTCTTTTGCACATTTTGTTGACTATAAGTTACATCCCAATCATATGCCAACTAATTCTCATTAGAGTATGGGAAGACAGTCTACTTAGCACTGGAACTATCAGAATTCTAGTACTACTAGAATCATTCTGACTGTTCTCATCTAAAACACCATATTTTCATGTCATATTTTCACTCAAAAGCTACTATTGAGATATTAAAATTAAGCTTTGAATGTCTGTCGTCATATTTAACAAAGTCATAACCCTAAAAATATAATACTTTTGGGAATACAGTTTATAAAATTGTTGTTAGGCTACTAGATCCCTAGCAAAGGTCTCTGCCTCACTTTCATTTTCACTTTCACAAGCAGGGCAGTTTTTTGCGGCACTACATATGCTTTCAAAGACATATCTGAAGTAAAGTTATGTTTTGCTAGCAGAAAGTTAGGTTTATGTTAGCAGGAAGTTGCAAGGCAACAGAGTCACACATATTCAAAGTCATGGAAAAAGTAGCACTAAAATGGATGTGGTCATTTTGACCCCTAGGGTAGAAATACTTATAGCTCTTCTGTGTATTGCATTTTAATAAAATACTAAGGTTAAAAAGAAATATATATATATATATATATATATATATATATATATATATA